CTGGGGGCTGAACCCTGGATGGAAGGAAAGGGGCACCCCTCCTTTTGTGCTGGAAGGAGGATTCTTATGCCCACTTAGCAAGACTGGAGTTCTCATTATCACTTTGCCTATTCAGGGTCATTTCTGATTCTTTATTGATAAAAATAAGTAGACTTCTCATGGGATCACGTGTAGATAAAAATCAGTTGTAGTGCCTTCCTGATATCATAACTGATTAGCAAATTTGAAGGATAAAAATTTGACCTGAACCCTAGTAACTACTTTTTTTTAAATTTAGTGGTGTGACATTTGTTGATAAGGTTACATGGGTTTCAGGTGTACAGTTCTGTAATGCACCATTTGTGTATTGCATTGTATATTCACCCCCCAAAGTCGAAAATCCTTCTATCACCATGTATTATTTGACCCCTTTGCCCTCTTCTACCTCTCTCCAGCCCTCCTTACCCTCTGGTAACCACTAGGCTGTTGTCTGTGTCTTTGAGTTTCTGCTTGTTTGTTGTGTTCATTTGTTGCTTTCAGTTTTATATCACACATATGTGTGAAATCATATAGTTCTGGACTTGGCATCATACATAGTTATTACAATATTATTGACCACATTCCCCACACTGTACTACATCCTGTGACTATTTTGCAAGTGCCAATTTGTACTTATTATTTCCTTCACCTTTTTAACGTACTCCCTCAACCACCCATCCTCAATCTGGCAACCATCAGTTTGTTCTTTCTATCTGAGTCCGTTTCTGTGTTGTTTGTGTATGTATTTTGCTTTTTACATTTCATGAATAAGCAAAATAATATGGTATTTGCCTTTCTCTGTCTGACTGATTTCACTTAGCATAATACCCTCTAGGTCCATCCATCACAAATGGGAAGATTTTGTTCTTTTTTATGGTCCAGTAATATTCCATTATTCATATATATCACCTCTTCTTTATCCAGTTGTCTATTGATGGGCACTTAGGTTGCTTCCATATCTTGACTGCTGTAGATAATACAATGTGAATATAGGGACGGATATATCTTTTCAAATTAGTGTTTTGGATTTCTTCATATCAATACCCAGAAGTGGAACTGCTGGGTCATACNTGGGTTTCCTCCTGCAGTCAACTCAGAGATCTGAGAATCTCCCTTCTCTGTTTCCTTTCCTTCATCTTCCAGAGCCAATAATTGTCCAAGTTCTGTCTCATTTCCCTTTTAATAAAGCTTTTCTCCATTAGACCTTTCCTGCTGAGCTTTCACTGTCTCTCCTGAGTCATTGACCTTATCTCTCCTCCCCTAACCAGCTTTCGGCAAGCCACTCCCCAAACAGCTTTCATACTGCCACCTTCTGCTTGCCGCCAAGATCAGTGTAGTCCAAAAGAAACATGATATGACCACACATACAATTTAAAACTTCCTAGTAGTCACATTAAAAATATAGAAAGAGGGCGGCCAGATGACTCAGTTGGTTAGAGTGCATGCTCTTAACAACAAGGTTGCAGATTCGATTCCCGCGTGGGATGGTGGGCTGCACCTCCTGCAACTAGGTTGAAAACGGCAACTGGACTTGGAGCTGAGCTGAGCCCTCCACAACTAAGACTGAAGGAAAACAACTTCACTTGGAGCTGATATGTCCTGGAAAAAACACACTGTTTCCCAATAAAGTTTTATAAAAAAGTAGAAAGAAACAAGATCAATTTTCCTATCCATAAAATGAGATTAACAGTCATATCATCCATGAGGGAGGTTGTAAGGATTCAGTGAGATTAGTAACAAGAACAGGTCATTATAGTTAAAATTTGTTAAGGGTATGAGTGAATGAATGAGTGAGTGAATGAATCTTCAGGAACTGGATGTGAAATAGATAAATGAATAAGGCCCCCTCAAGCCCCAACTTTTCTTCTCCAGACCCCAAAGGCCAGCTCTGACACCATTCTCTCCTCCCACTCAGGGTCACCTGAATGCCTCATCAGACAGCCCCTCAGACCACCAGCCCCCAACTGTGGCCACCTCTGCCTCAGAGGATGAGAAGGAACTCTATTATGCCTCCCTCAGTTTCCACCATCTGAAGCCACGCAACCTTCAGGACCGGGAGACCACCGAGTACTCTAAGATCAAGATCCGGAAATGACGACCCCATCCTCACCCCCACAAACTTGCTGGAGCCTGGAAAAAGCATCTCTGGAAAAAAAAAATGTGTGTCAGGGACCAATTCTTGAACAGTGAATAGTCCTCAGAGCCAAAGGTTATATATAAATGGGAATGTGAAATTCCTTGGAGTGGCTGAAGATTCCTGGGTTCAAATCCAGGCTCAGCTACTTACTGAGGTTGTTACATCAGGCAAGTCACTTTGCTTCTCTGTACTTTAGTTTCCTCCTCTGTAAAATGGGGGGATAATATTGATTAGGTACATCATTAAATGTGGAAACACACATTGTTGGCATTAAGTATATTGTTATGTGTTAAGTTTACCTCAGGATGGAGAGAGATGTCAGCTTTGGCTCTACCACAGTCTTCTATTTTGCTTGACTATCTTTAAGAACATGTATTATTTTCTTTTTCAGGGGAAGGGTAATATGTATTATTTTGAAAAGTAAATCTGGGCCGGCCAAGTGGCTCTTTGGTTAAGAGTTGGCTTGGGAGCATGAGCTCTGAGCAGCAGGGCTGCTGGTTCAGATCCCATGGGCTAGTGACACTGCGCCCTCTACAGCTAAGATGGTGGACAGCAACTCGACCTGGAGCTGGTGTGCCGTGAGTTGCTGATGACCGCGTAGGCTGCAGTGGGGCTGCAGTGGGCTGCCATAAGCTACTGTGAGTGGCTGGCAACTAGCGTGAGTGGCCGGTAGCCCACACAAGCTGCCATGAGCCACTTGAGCGGCTGTCCAATGGCCGGCAACTGACTGCCTCAGCCGGGAAGAGCGCAATGATAATACCAACATGGGCCAGTGAAGCGATGTCCTCCTCAACTAGACTGAAGAACAAAAGGACAGTAACTTGTCTGTTCCCCTTCCCTGATTTCCCAACGCTGTTCCCCTCCCCCAATTCCCCCAATAAAATCTTTAAAATAATAAAATAAGATAAAAATAAAAATAAATAAATAAAAAGTAAATTTATTTCTAAATGTAACTCTTTGGCAGAAGAAGATATTTCCCAATACATGTATCTAACAAAAGATTCATCCACAGTATATAAAGACTATATAAAGATCTTCCATAAATCAATAAGAAAAGGGCAGACAATGCAATAGAAAAATGGGATATTCAGTGGGCGAATAAGCATACAGAAAGATGTTCAACTTTAGTAGCTATCAAGGAAATACAAATAAAAATCACAACGTTATACCACTGTATAACCACCACATTGGCAAAAATAATAAAAAGAATATCAAGTGTTGAGAACATTACACTAAGTGAAACAAGCCAGTTCACAAAAAAGACAAATACTGCATGAGTCCAGTTACATATGTCTCTGAATTAATCAAACTCTTAGAGGGTGGATGGACCTCTGGGGAAGGCGAAATAGAAAGTTGCTATTTAATAGGTATAGAGGTTCAGTTTTGCAAGATAAAGATGTGCTGGAGAAATAGTGGACAACAACATGCATTGAGTCAACACTACTGCACTGGACACTTAAAAAGGGTTAAGATGGTGAATTTTATGTTGTTTTTTTACCATGATAAAGGAAAGTAATATATAGTAGTTACCAAGGGCTGGGGGATGGGGGAGTGGGCAGGGAGTTAAGGTTTAACATATACATAATTTCAGTTTATGATGATAAAATAGTTCTAGAGATGGATGGTGGTGATGATTGCACAATGTGAATGTATTTAATGCCATTGAACTATACACTTAAAAATGGTTAAAACAAGAAATTCTGTATTGCGTATTTTACCACAAAAAAAAAATTTTTAAGATGATCAAGTGTTGGTGAGGATGTGGAGCAACTGGAACTCTCAGACACTGCTGGTGGGAGTGAGAATTGGTACAACCACTTAGAAAACACTGAGCCTGCGAGCCAGCAATTCCACTCCCAGGGGCGTTGGACCCAACAGAAGTGTGTACAAATGTTCAGCAAATACATACAAGAATGTTCACAGCAGCCCTAATTGTGATGGCTGAAAAGTGGAACCTGCCCAAATGTCCTTCAACAGGAAGACAAGTCAATAGATTGCAGATTATTGATGCAATGAAAGAAGCATAAAATCTCCACACAACATGCGTGAACCCTACAAACATAATGTTGAGTAAAAGAACCCAGACACAGAGTATCTACTATGTGACATCCTTGATACTAAGGTTCAGAAACTAATCCTTAGTATTAGAAGCCGGGACACTGGTTACCTGGGTGGAGGGGTGGGGGGGGTTACTGACCTGCAAGAGACAGTAGGGACCTCCTGGGGGTTCTGATAAGGATCTGTTTCTTGCTGGGGTCACTAACTGCTCAGATGCATTCACTCTATGAAACATTTTTGAGTAAACTACTTGTGATTTGTGCTTTTTTCTAGAAAAATGTTACTCATTAATAAAATTTACATTAGGCTTTTTAATTTTTATTTTTTAATTTTTTTATTGGGTAACATTGTGTTTTCCCAGGACCCATCAGCTCTAAGTTAAGTTGTTGTCTTTCAATCTAGTTGTGGAGGGCGCAGCTCAGCTCCAAGTCCAGTCGCTGTTTTCAATCTAGTTGTGTGGAGGGGTGCAGCCCACCATCCCATGTGGGGATCAAACCAGCAACCTTGTTGTTAAGAGCACACGNCTGAGACCATTTCTGTTTACTTTCCTTGTTCATTCAGTTTTTTAGATTCCACATATAAGTGAAATCATATGGTATTTGCCTTTCTCCAACTGACTTATTTCACTTAACATAATGGTCTCTAGGTCCATCCATATCGTCCCAAATGTTACGATTTCATTCTTCTTTATAGCAAAGTAATGCTCCATTGTATAAATGTACCACAGTTTCTTAATTCAGTCGTCTACCGATGGGCATTTCGGTTGTTACATTTTTTTTTTTTAGGTTGCATACAGTCGTGTATTAGAGCTGGCTCCCATTTGTTGGCAAGAGTTGACTGTGCCCATCTTGTCTCAACTCTGGTTTCAGTGACTTCAAATTCGGTGCTTGAAACTGGCCAAGATGGCAGTATTTACACTAAGGAAATTGGAAAATACTACAAATCAGGACTTCTCCTTTCTCCCCCAATAAGCTGGTTGTTAAACATTTACCAGTAAACCACTGATTGCATTTATCAATATTTTCTTTCATGCCTCTGACTTTCCCCATTTTAATATTATTTTTGTAAATTTATATTTCAATTACAGTTGACATACGATATTATATTACTTTCAGGTGTACAACATAGTGGTTAGACATTTATATAATTTATGAAGTGATCCCCCGGCAAGTCTAGTTCCCATATGACACCGTACATAGTTATTACAATATTATTGACCTGTACTTTACATTCCTGTGTCAATTTTTATAACTGGAAATTTGTAATATTATTTTGTGAATCTCCCGTAATTTCTTCCAGTAGCCCATGTAAACACTCCCCAACACTCCCGTTCACTCAGGCCTCACAGGGCTATGTGTTTTTCTTGGAGGATGCAAGGCCATTCCACACCTCAGCTATAGCCACACTTCTATGTCTTTCACCCACAGTGTCCTTCTGGTGGCTCAGCACCACCCCTGAGCCAGCTCCCACCCGTTCTCATGCTCTACTTAAGTCTCTCCTCTTCCAGGAAGCCCTCCCTGTCTTGACAGCGCCATTGAACTCCTATCCTTAGGGCTCCTTCGGCCCGATTGACCCTCATCACAGAACATGTCATATTGCTCTGTGAGAACCTGCTGTGTCTTGCTTATGGGGGTGTCTTGCTTATGAGGCTGTGAGCTCTCAGAAACAGGTAAATTAGACAGGTGTTGACAGACAAAAATGTCAAGACTCATAGAAGGAAGTCTGGGACCTGTGTTGGCACAGAAGGCCAAGACAGGAGGTATGGGGACCAGGGTGGTTCAGATGAATGCATGGGGGCCTCTAGGAAAGGCTGCAGTGCCTGCTTCTAGCCCAGTTCCCTTGGGGCTGAGCCCAGATGATATGAGTCCATCACGCAATGGAAGAGAAGAAACTGACCTAAGTGATGTAAGGAAAAGAGAAAGAGACAGAGACAGAGAGAGACAGAGAGATGAAGAGAGACACCCAGAAACAGAGAGAGTGAGACAGAGAAACAGAGACACTAATGAGGACCAGGGTTTGACTTTCTTTCTATCTCTCTAGAAATGAAATTTGTGAGGAACGGCTCTTCTCTTCCAGTCCTGAAAGGGGACTCTCTGCGCCTGGTCTGTGTCGCTGACAGCAACCCTCCCGCCACGCTGAGCTGGGCCCAGGGGAGCCAGACCTTGAGCCCCTCCCAGCCCTCAGACCCCGGGGTCCTGGAGCTGCCCCGGGTGGAGTCGGAGCATGAAGGCGAATTTACCTGCCGAGCTCAGCACCCACGGGGCTCCCTGAGCATCTCCCTGCACCTCTCTGTGCACTGTGAGTGGGGGCATGGGGGCACCTGGGGGCAGGACACCTGGTGCTGGGGAGGGGCAAGGCACCGCTGATCCTTCTGTCTCCCACAGATCCTCCACAGCTGTTGGGACCCTCCTGCTCCTGGGAGGAAGAGGGGCTGCACTGCAGCTGCTCCTCCCGAGCCCAGCCGGCCCCCTCCGTGCGCTGGCAGCTGGGAGAGAGGCTGCTGGAAGGGAACCTCAGCAATGCCTCCTTCAAGGTCACCTTCAGCTCAGAGGGTCCCTGGGCCAACAGCTCCCTGAGCCTCAGAGAGCAGCTCTGTTCCAGCCTTGGGCTCAGATGTGAGGCTGAGAATGTCCATGGGAAACAGACAGTGAATATCCTGCTGCTGCCAGGTCAGAGGGTGTGATGGGCAATGCCCAGGGAAAGGGGCATGCCAGCCTGGATCCTAGAAGACATTGAATAGGAGAGAAATAGGCCTGGCTGAGGGCAAAGTGGGACTAGAGTTCAGGTCCCTCTGTCACTTGGCTGAAAAGAGGACAGGGTAAACAAGAGGTGGCAGTCATTCAAAGGGGTGGGGGACAAAGAAGTCCTGGATGGAAGTGGGAGCAGTTTGGGGCATGAATTCAAGAAGGCTTTATGCTCAGGTGCCTGCTTAGGGAAATGGGTGTTCACCCTAGGTGTCTTTTATTTGCAGGAAGACCAGGACTCAGGACATGTATGGTTCAGGGGGCTGTCATGGGAGCTGGTGTCACAGCCTTGCTCACTCTCTGCCTCATCTTCTTTGTGTGAGTGGTGGCACNGAGGAGATATATCCAAAAGAAATATTACTAAGAGCAATGTCAAAGAGTTTCCTGCCTATGTTTTCTTCTCAAAGTTTTATGGTTTCGGGTCTGGAAGCCACTTTTTGATAGTAAGAACTTGGCCTCTCTTTGACTTGACTGTCAGGAAGCTCAAGAGCCTAATTTGAAATTCATGTTTAACATCCATCCTGACCTTTCTTTTTAAGTCTACTTTTCCTAGGACAGATATCCTGTATTTATCATTATTGTATATGTTGATGGAGTAAGACACCTCGTGTGGTTGGTGAAATAAGTCATGGTATAGTTTGTCTGTAGATCAAGTAAGTGCTTGAAATTCAGAACTCTACAAACACTTTTGATAAATAACAAGTAGCTATTTGCTAGTAAAATGCTTCTAAATTTTATGTTTATTTTATTTCTAATTTTTATGTTTATTTTAATTCCAATTTTTATGTTTATTTTAAAATTGTGTATTATAACTATATTATTCAGAACTAGGGAACATAGGAAATCATTGTTTGGAATTGCATCCCAAAGTCTAATTCTGAAAGCAAGCTTGTGCCTTCAATGGCTATATAATGTGTACATTTGGAATCTGATTTTAAAAGTGACCAAAAACTTACTCGTGCCAAGCTATAAATATACTTCCTTAAACCATCATTTAGAGATATATTCTAGTCTCAAATTCATAAGTTGCTTTTGCTGAGTTCACAGTTTACGGTTTTAAGCTTTAAGTTAGGAAGTGAAATCACCTGAAATCCAAAAATTCCATTCTGATTCACATATCTCCTCTTGAAATATAATCAATAATAGTGGTGCATATGATGCATTTCTGGAGGCTTTGAATTTGGAGTTTTTCTTAATTTTTAGATTTGCCTTTGATCAACTAATTTTTCATCTCTATAATCAGACAATAATACCTGCCTTCATACAGAAAGTTGGGCCAATGTTCTCTTAAGATTCTTTTCATTTGTTGGTTTTAATATTCTGTTGTAGGACTATATTGTAGGACTTATATTATTAATGAAAATAGGAGTATAAGAATCTGATTTAATCTCTAGCTCTAGGTTCTTATTTGATCTTATGTGAACGAAAGAAAACACTTAATATTTCTGTTCCTAGGTTCCCATGTCCATAAAATAGTTAATAATACTTGTTTTTTGCAACACTAACTAGTTAATAAATAAACATGTAGCCTCCCTTTTATAAAAGGTTGTATTGTATAAAATTCATTTGTAAGTTAATTGCTGGGAGCTTACTCAGATTTCCAGGGAATTAAGTGCTAAAGAGTGGCTAAGTTCCTCAGTTAGCTTCTAGATGCCTATTTGACATAGAGCATAAGTGGGAAGAGTGCCTCTGCATAAAAATAGTAGAAGATGGTTTTCAATACTGGTATTAAAGTAGTAAAAATTAAATGAATTTTGGTTGCCTTGTACCATAATAAGATTTTATAAAGACTGATGGAAAATTTTAAAAAAATAAAAAGATTGGAATTCACCCCAAGTCTCTCTTGTCTACAGGGGTTAGGGCTTCAACATATAAATTTAAGGGGAACACAATTCAGTCCCTAGAAAAGTTTAAAAAGAAGAAAATAGTATTCAACACATTATTTACCTCCTTTCTTGGCTATCTTTCCAAAAATAATCTATACATGTACATTAAAAAACACGCTTATGTACACACTATATTATGCACATCGCTCTGAGTCTTTTTAAAAAACTTTTCATTCTGGTGTAATTCAGATTTGCATTCAGAGTTTCCATAAATCCCTCATCATTAGAGGCTTCATCACCATGGTGCATTTGACACAACTAAGAAAGTGACCTTGGTACATTACTANGGAACTCCTGTCTTCTTGTCCTAGGTGCCCCACAGAACCCCAACATTGGTGTCTGCCTCAGAGACGGCTCAGGTAGGAAGGAGCCTCCTGTCCATGTGACACTGACTGAAGGGGGGTCTCTGCCAAGTGGATTCAGAGCTCAACTTTCAGAGTTCAAATGCTGAGGTTGGGGCCCGATACGCGAGAGGCTTTTATCAGGAATCTTCTCCCATATTCTTCTACTGCTCTTCTGCCGTGGTGACCCCCACACCCTCTCCTCCCTGCTCATCTTAAACGATGCTCTTTATCTTCCTCCCATCACAGAAGCTTTTGGGCATTTTCAAGTAGACTTTATTTTTTAGAGCAGTTTTAGGTACAGTAAAATTGAGCAGAAAGTAGAGAGATGTCCCCTATACCTACTGCACCCTCCCTCACATGCACTGCCTCCCCACTGTCAACACCCCTCACCAGAGGGGACATTTATTACAATTGATGAACCTACAGTGACACGTCCATTCTCACCCAAGCCCATAATTTATATTAGGGTTCACTCTTAGTGTTGGACATTCTGTAGGTTATCAAACAGTAGTCTCACAGCTACAAAAATCTCTTTGGGCTTTTTTCTTCTTTTAAAGATTATATTGGGGAATTGGGGAAGGGAACAGTTTTGGGGAATTGGGGAAGGGGAACATTGTGTTTTTTCAGGACCCATCATCTCCAAGTCAAGTTGTTGTCTTTCAATCTTAGCTGTGGAGGGCCCAAGTTCAGCTCCAAGTCCAATTGCTGCTTTCAATCTAGTTACGGAGGTGAGGGGTGGGGGTCGCAGCTCACCATCCCATGTGGGAGTCAAACCAGCAACCTTGTTGTTAAGAGCACGAGCTTTCACAAGCTCAGCAGCAGCTCAACTTGAGCACAGCTCACTGGCCCATGTGGGAATCGAAACGGCGCCCCTGTTGCTCAGAGATTGCTCTCTTAACCAACTGCACCACCTGGACGGCCATCTTTGGGCTGATTTTGACTGTCAATCTCCCCGGCCCTCACCCTGATCTGCCTGTGGGTCTAGGGCTGACCCCATTGCCCTATTCCATTGGTGATTGCGTTTGGTGCCCCCCCCCACCATTAGACAGTGACCCTGTTAGGGCTGTCTCAGCTGTGCCCATCAGACTGCTGACAAGTGATGCACAGAGACACATCTCTGACCCCAGGTGTTGGGCTCCCAGGAGGCATGGCCAGACAGGACCAGGAGAGCTATNTGGGCCAGTGAAGCGATGTCCTCCTCAACTAGACTGAAGAACAAAAGGACAGTAACTTGTCTGTTCCCCTTCCCTGATTTCCCAACGCTGTTCCCCTCCCCCAATTCCCCCAATAAAATCTTTAAAATAATAAAATAAGATAAAAATAAAAATAAATAAATAAAAAGTAAATTTATTTCTAAATGTAACTCTTTGGCAGAAGAAGATATTTCCCAATACATGTATCTAACAAAAGATTCATCCACAGTATATAAAGACTATATAAAGATCTTCCATAAATCAATAAGAAAAGGGCAGACAATGCAATAGAAAAATGGGATATTCAGTGGGCGAATAAGCATACAGAAAGATGTTCAACTTTAGTAGCTATCAAGGAAATACAAATAAAAATCACAACGTTATACCACTGTATAACCACCACATTGGCAAAAATAATAAAAAGAATATCAAGTGTTGAGAACATTACACTAAGTGAAACAAGCCAGTTCACAAAAAAGACAAATACTGCATGAGTCCAGTTACATATGTCTCTGAATTAATCAAACTCTTAGAGGGTGGATGGACCTCTGGGGAAGGCGAAATAGAAAGTTGCTATTTAATAGGTATAGAGGTTCAGTTTTGCAAGATAAAGATGTGCTGGAGAAATAGTGGACAACAACATGCATTGAGTCAACACTACTGCACTGGACACTTAAAAAGGGTTAAGATGGTGAATTTTATGTTGTTTTTTTACCATGATAAAGGAAAGTAATATATAGTAGTTACCAAGGGCTGGGGGATGGGGGAGTGGGCAGGGAGTTAAGGTTTAACATATACATAATTTCAGTTTATGATGATAAAATAGTTCTAGAGATGGATGGTGGTGATGATTGCACAATGTGAATGTATTTAATGCCATTGAACTATACACTTAAAAATGGTTAAAACAAGAAATTCTGTATTGCGTATTTTACCACAAAAAAAAAATTTTTAAGATGATCAAGTGTTGGTGAGGATGTGGAGCAACTGGAACTCTCAGACACTGCTGGTGGGAGTGAGAATTGGTACAACCACTTAGAAAACACTGAGCCTGCGAGCCAGCAATTCCACTCCCAGGGGCGTTGGACCCAACAGAAGTGTGTACAAATGTTCAGCAAATACATACAAGAATGTTCACAGCAGCCCTAATTGTGATGGCTGAAAAGTGGAACCTGCCCAAATGTCCTTCAACAGGAAGACAAGTCAATAGATTGCAGATTATTGATGCAATGAAAGAAGCATAAAATCTCCACACAACATGCGTGAACCCTACAAACATAATGTTGAGTAAAAGAACCCAGACACAGAGTATCTACTATGTGACATCCTTGATACTAAGGTTCAGAAACTAATCCTTAGTATTAGAAGCCGGGACACTGGTTACCTGGGTGGAGGGGTGGGGGGGGTTACTGACCTGCAAGAGACAGTAGGGACCTCCTGGGGGTTCTGATAAGGATCTGTTTCTTGCTGGGGTCACTAACTGCTCAGATGCATTCACTCTATGAAACATTTTTGAGTAAACTACTTGTGATTTGTGCTTTTTTCTAGAAAAATGTTACTCATTAATAAAATTTACATTAGGCTTTTTAATTTTTATTTTTTAATTTTTTTATTGGGTAACATTGTGTTTTCCCAGGACCCATCAGCTCTAAGTTAAGTTGTTGTCTTTCAATCTAGTTGTGGAGGGTGCAGCTCAGCTCCAAGTCCAGTCGCTGTTTTCAATCTAGTTGTGTGGAGGGGTGCAGCCCACCATCCCATGTGGGGATCAAACCAGCAACCTTGTTGTTAAGAGCACACGTTCTAACCCACTGAGCCATCCGGTCGCCCACCAGTAGCTCAGCTGCAGCTCAGTTCAAGTCATTGTCTTCAATCTAGTTGCGGAGGGCGCAGCTCACTGGCCCAT